GATTCGTAACCACTATGCTATCACTATTAATTTTATAATATATTTCTTCCTTCTGTTGCTAGTTAATGAGGTACAATTTTAAATTCAGAATGGGTATTCAATTTCATGAAACACCTTTTTGGCATTTTTGCACAAGCACTGGTCCTCTGTATTGTTCATCTTGCTGTCCCCACATTTTGTTTAGTTTGCACCTTGCCTTTTTATTGGCACACAATAGTATTAGTCAAATGAATGAAGCTTATTTATGTATTTCCTGCAATGACCTTCTGACGTGCCAAGATTAGCTTCCTAGCTACCTCTGTGCTTTTGCTGCCAAGAATAGATGTAATGACTTCTCCCATGCTTCCCTGCCATGATCAACCATTCTACTGTGGTTTTCTTTTTCCTATTTAACAGTACAGTCAACTGGTCCTTCCTCATGGCAGAAAAGTGCATGCATTCTGCATGAAGCCCAAGCTTGTAGCCTTTTATGCAATGTCCACTATGTGCCGGGCAGTAGGGTAGAAATTTAACCTATATCCCAGCAACATCCAGCATCATACACTGTCTCCTTCACTAACCCATTTTTGAGCACATAAAAATTACTTCATGTCTTCAAACTTCAGTTTACCTAGCACTGTAATCAAGTGACAATGACTAGAGATTTTAAAGATCTCTTTTAACTCCAAGTTCCATGACACTATATTTTCCCTTCTATTAATGTCAGTCCTATTGATGGGATTTTTTTTTTTTTACACCTGGGGACATTTTTACACTTCCCTTAATATATCAAATGATTCAGGAGATATCACAGGAAGTAAAGAGAGGAGATGACAGATTATCTCAAAACTTGACCGGGGCCATTCTTCTGCATGGCTGTGTGTCTTTGGTCCTCTCTTCTTGCGTTCTCAATCCATTCTCTCTCACTGACTGAATGTCTCACCTAGACTAAGTGTTTTCTCAGCAGCACTGTTATTCTCATAATCATAATTTCTTTTAAGGAGTTTTGGTGATACTTGCTTAAGAGATCAGAATTTCTAGTAAATTTTCATTTTAAATAGAAGACCAAACTGAAAAGTTAATTCAAGATGTGAAGGACTGAGTTCATTGTTAATGGTGAAACATTCCTGATACAGTGAGAGACACTGGGTCATGATGGGGTAGTGGCGCTGGCTACCCTTCTTACTGTTGGCAGTCATCCAATCTGTCTCCACTCTATCTGTAATAGCAATTCTGGATGGGCAGTTGCTCCTGAAGACTAACTTACTGCTACAGCAAAACAAAAAGGAAGACTCTAGTTAATGTAAACTGAATTTTCTACAAGTTCTTGTTACAAGGACAACATAAGGTTGCCCAGGCCTCAGCAGACAATGAGAACACATGGGTTCCACATACATGAAGGAGCACAAAGAAAAATGCCAAGGGGAAATGTGGAAGAAAGCCCAAGCTCACTGTCACTATGTAGATATGTGTCTGCCATGGGACATAAATTACTCTGAATCTTGCCTGCACTTAATCACCGAAATTTCTGCAAAATTTCTCCTGTCCAAGTGCTTCTGGTCACGTCTATGCTCATGAGAAAATCTTGTTCCACAGGCCCCCTCTACTGCTGTACCACTTCTCTCTGGACTCAAGTTGCTGGGCAAGCTTCAATGAATGCCATCATCTCCCACCAACTACCCTTCTTCCTGTTCTTTGGCTGGACACGAGGGGGTTTCAAGATAACAAAATTGCAGAGTGTTCTAGAAAGGTTGGAAGAGATTGCCTCTCTCCTTTTTTATACTACATGTGGTTGGATTTTCCAAAGCAGTGGTGCGCATAGTCCAAGGTCTGTGGACTATGAGCATACTCTCTGTTGTACTTACAGACTCCTTTATTCTCCACAGGACTCAGAATGAAAGACAAAACCAGGGGCAGACATTGAGTAGAGCCCAGAACGAGGCTTTCCCAGTGACTAAGTTCTTGTTCCTAGGTCTGAACGCTTTGCACCCAGTATTCCACTGCCTTCAGGTCCCTTCTCTCATTCCCTGTGCACGTCCAGCCTAGCTGATTACCAATGGTCACATTGTAATTTAAGCTCAACCTGGGACCTCTACTATAATACCGAAAGCTGAAGGAATAAACAGTAAGGTGAAATTCCAGAAACAAGTGATGGAGTAGCACTGGGTTAGAGTATCAGTGCTGTAAGGGTGGGGCTTTTTGGTCTGCTTTGCTCATGCAGCTGATTGAATATACATTTTGGTTCCATGTAGCAAACCATTCTCAGGGACAAAAGGCTATTTTCCTGGCTCTGTATGGCAAAGGCAACATAGACGGGGCACATGGGGCGGGTGGTCTGGAGAAGCACACTCACCAGGTCTGTCACACAGCTAGCTTTTCAGCCTTCTCAGAAACAAGGCCAGCAAGGGCTCCTTGCTGGGGGCTTTGCTCAGCTCAGGCAGTGAGCAGTCAGGCAAGCTCCTCTCCTGCCCATGTTGGGCCCGCTGCTGTACCGCCTGCTGAAGTTTATGCAATCTCCCTCAAAGCAGTGATTCATAAGCCCTCTGCATTGCATACCCTTTGAGAATCCAATGAAAACCACAGCATTTCTCCAGAAAAAAAAAAAATTTTTTTTTGCACGGATTCACAAGCACATAACATTTTTAATAGTATTTCAAAAGAAAGAAGAGGCTCTTGGACTCCTACTACAAAACATTAACTGTAGAATTTGGAGCAAGCCAATCTTAAAAAATAGGGAAGCTGTTTTATGTTTTCCTTTTCTCTTTTTAGATTAGAAAAATGTCTGAACATGCACAAAAAACACAGAGAACAGTATAATGAACCGTCATGGACAACAATTATTAACATTCTGCCATTCTTTGTTTTTTCATTCATCCCCCCACCCCCAGCATTTTTTAACCTTTATTCTTGCTAGAGTAGTTTTACAAAGTCTAAGATGTCTTCTAAGGAACCCTGGTAGCATAGTGGATTATAAACTAGGCTGCTAACCGTAAGGTCAGGAGTTCTAATCTACCAGTTGCTCCGCAGGACAAAGATTAGGCTTTCTGCGCCCATATAAAGATTTATAGCCCTGGAAACCCTGAGCCAAATTTGACTTGGTGGCACACCACCACCACGTCTTCTAATTTTATCTGTAAATATGATAATATATTTCTAATTGGCCAGGACTTTAAAAACAACAACCATAAATCCATATTCACATGCAACAAAATTAACAATAGTTCTTTAATAGCATCTAATACCCAGACTCTGATTGTCTCAAAAATAATCTTTTGACAGTGAATGGTTTGAATATGGATCAAAAAAAGGGCCAGGTATTGAATTAGATTGGTATATCTATTGAGGTGGCGTCCTGGTGTAGCATTGTGGGATAAAGCACTGGACCACCAGGTCAGTTTGAACCACAGGCTCGGCAGTTCAAACTCACCAGCTGCTCCTTGGAAACCTTATACAGGGTCGCTGTGAGTTGGAACCGATGTGACGGCACTTAACAACAACAACAACAATCTATTAAGGACTCTATTAAGGTAAGAATTTGTTTTTACTGTGTGGATGAAAGTTACATTGGTTGGCTATTTTATGAAGCTTGAGGTAGGAGGAAAGTATATGTAGCAGTGATTAAGTTAATGATGAGTACTGCAAAATCAAAAAACTGGGGACTTTTTAAAATTTCTACTTGATCTCATTTCTTATTATAAAAGCCAGAATTCAATGAGAGGCCAGTCATCTCTTCACTTCAATGACCAGGTAAAAATACAGACTTAATAGATCAAACTCTACAGTTCTTGCCTGAATCTGATTATGGATGAATTGTGTATTGTCTACTAAGCATTTATTTATATTTGATAACAACTTTCTCTCTTGTTTGGCTAAGAGTTTTTTTTTTAAATGTCAAGATTAAAAAAAAAAAAAAAATGTCAGCCAAGTTAAACAGAAAATCTGAAGCCCTCAAATATATACCTGCCCGCTCTACAAGGACCATCCCAGACACATTAGGGTCCTACTCAGTTTTTGATATATTAACCCCATATGTAACAGGTTTACCTGCTGCCTTCCTTGTATATCCAACATTGATGACTATCACCAGATTTCTTCTCAACCAAAACCACTTCAGTGCCTGAACGGAGCTTGGGACTTTGTACCCCCAGGACAAGTTGAGGAACAGCATGGTTTAGAATCTGCCCATCTCTGTATTCAAACTGCTGATGGCAAAGCTTCTGCAATTTACCATGCCTTGGTGAATGGTTGAAATAAAGAAAACCTCATTAGTGGCAGAAAAAAGATATATCCCATGCACTTGATGTAGTGTAACTCATAAATTCTGTTGGCAACATACCCACTGTGAATCAAATTAACATGTAATAGTAAGGGATCATCATCCTAACAGCAGCAATGCCATTAGCATTACACTTCCAAGCAGATGTAAAAAATGGAATTTTGAGTATATTCTGCAACTGAAATAAGTGTTTATCCAGGAGATCATATGAGACATTTATTAGCAGAGAGAAAAGACTTCCAGTTGAAGAGGTAATTTAGTTAGAGAGGAAAAGAAGAATGTGAAAAGAAAGTAGGAGAATGAGAGGTGGGTATTATGGGTTGAATTATGTTCCCCCCAAAATATATGCTAAAGTCCTAAGTCTTGAAGTAGTAAATCTGACCTTGTCTTAGGAAATTGAGGTTTTCTTTATAGATGTTGTTAGTTTAGCTAATAAAGTTACACTGAATTGAGGGGTGTGCGTGTGTCTGAATCCTAGTTCCTTCTTAGAAGTATTTTACATAGCAGAAGGACAGACACACAAGTGGGGTCATGTACACAGATGGAAGGTCTTACACAGGGCAAGGAATGCCAAGGGTTGCTGGCAACATCCAGAAACTAGGAGAGAAGAATAAAACAGTTCATCTCTCTAAATCTTCAGAAGGAATCAATGTGGCAGAAATGCTGAATCTGTACCTTCCAGACCTGTGAAACAATACATTTTTCTGTTCTTCAAAGCCACCACCTCAGTGGTCTTTTGTCATGACAAACTAAGGAAACTAAGACTGTGATGTCCTGGGAAGCGAAGGCAAGCATGATATGAAAGCAAAAAGGGAACAAATGAATTCTGCTAATGATGGTTGTTGCTATTATCATTGTACAGTATTCCTGTAAAATAGAATAGTATTCTCTAAGATTTCAATCTCCCTGAACTATTCATAGGCTACAGTGGTTCTATGTAGGGTCAATTTGGTTATGAAAGACAAATTTATTTAGAAGTCAAATAAAAAATATCTTTTATTTGAGGATCTTAAAGTATTAGGCAACTTATTAAATATCATAAGGTGTTAGCATTTCATCTATTAAGCACCTACTATGTGCACGGACTAATGCTAAATGTCAAAATCACTAGATTCACAACTTTCAGTAAGTGTACTATATTAAGCAAATATATAAAAATTAGGGAATACTTAAAACTACTATAAACAGCCTGGCATTTCTTTAAACTCTGACCAGGAAAAAAATTTCAAAGAAGAAAATATATTTTATTAATTTCTCAAAGACATCAGAACATTTTGCATATTTACTCATAAGTTCACTCATGAAGTCATTCAACAAATATATATATATGTAAATTCACAAGTGACAACAGCAGGTAAGTTTACTTTTTAATAGAAAAGACAACCACTGAATAAGAAATTATACTGCATACAAAAACAACCTGAGAAGGGCCTTTGCCAGAACTACCTGCAAACACCTTTATCAAAAACATAAGGAAGACAAAACATGCATATTGATGTAAAACAGGATAGCATCAGAGTTAACCCTCAGAAAGATTTCTGACCTGAAGTAAGCAAATCTAAGAACTGGCAAAAATCTCTGGCAGGAATCACTTGTGACATTTTTACCTGAATTTCTTCTGTGGTTCCACTTTTTCAAAGAGTTCCTCTTCCATTGTTTTTGGAAGAGTGTCAGATTCATCAAATTCATGAGGAGTTTCCTGCCAGGCATACTTGAGATGTGTGTGAGAAGCCTTCATTCGAAGGTGGGTTCTTGCATGTGCATCTCTACCAGGGTTCAGAATCAAACACAAGCCAAAGAAAGAATTGTGATTTGGCCTCACAAAACTGTTTCTGAGATGAAGTAAATCATAATTACCAGAGACATGTCAAATATTAAAAATCCATATCCTACTAATATATAAGCACTGGAAGCCCTGTAGGATAAATACTGGACTGCTAATCACAAGGTCAGTGGTTCAAGCCCAACTGCTCTTAGAGAAAAAGACAAGGTTTTCTGTTCCTGTAGAGATTAAAAGTCTCAAAACCAAGTTATTGGAATTTAACAATAGCACTAATATATAATTAGAACTTTGAATATAAAGCTACAAATAAAATCCTCCAATCACATGATGAAAAGCATTCATCTTTGTTATGTCTACTCAGTAAAAGTAGGGCCATGAATTATAGCTCAGAAATAGAAATATGAAAACTAGTAAGTAGCTTAAAAAATTAATAATGAATGTGTACTATATTTTATTCTATCCACCCACTAAACCAGGTCAGAACTTTATCTGGAAGAGTACAGTTTGGATTACTGGGTTTCATAAAATTTGTTCACTAGATAATGAGAAATCTTAACCTTTTCCTTCAGTTGAGAAATGAGGGAAAATCGAACCACATCAGTATGCAAGCACCAATGCTTGATAGGCAATAATATACTAAGACATTCAGAGTAAATTCTGTTAGTGACAAGTGCCATGGAGTCGGTTCTGACTCATAGCGACCCTGTATAGGATTTCCATAGTTGTGAATAATGAAGACTTCACATTTATTAAGCTGAAGATGTTAGCAGGAACAGCAGCCACCATATAGACTACAAACATCACAAGCTCCTGGCCACTGTTTGGGGGTACATTTCCCTTCAGTGGAAAGAACCACGGTAGCACAGTAGGTCAGCCATTCAAATGGCTACTCAGCAAGAAAAAGTTGAGGTTTTCTGCTCCCAAAGATTTACACCCCTGGCAACCCTATTTGTTGTTCTGATTCATAGTGACCCTGTACAGGGTTTCCAAGGAGCAATTGGTGAACCACGCACTTGGGATTCAAACTGACGTTGCAGTGCAGCACATAACCCACAGCGCCCCACCAGAACTCCTATGCAGGGTCACTGTGATCAGAACTGTAAGGCATGCAGCAGGAGCACAAGCCTTCCGTGGCAGTCATGACCTAATCTGTTGTCTTGACTAAAGGCAAGATAAGTATATTGCAGCACTCTGAATGTGCAGAGGTGTAAATAAAGCTCTCTGGGGGGGGG